TAAAGAGCCTTTTCAAAAAACAGACATATTTTCGAATTTTTTGAGATAAACTACGGAACCATCACCGGCGGTTAAAGCAATGAGTTTTGTCCAGAGAAATATAAGCGTGATAATCCCAAGACCGACTATCTATTAACCTCGGCATAGTTTGAATAAATGGATAGTTTCTTCTGTTTAGCCGTTCCGAGGTGTTATTGATGTTACTTATTGGATATTAGCGAAGCATACAACAATACAGTCAGTAATGCAGCTTGAATACACAATATTCGAGGTGGCTAACGTTTCGGCGGGTCGCCTTCGTCAGAGCCTGGAAAGATCACATTGATCCACAATCCACTAAGCCAAAAACCTCCATAACCCTAGCAGAAAACGTTAGAGATGTGTTTTGGATCGCATAGTAAAAGCTTCATTTTAAAACACTCACCGTTTTTGATATTTGGGTCTATCAATTATTAATTGAAGACCAGCCGCTTAAGGTCAGTGCATCAGTGGGCTGTGCCTAAGCTCGGGTCGGAGAAAATCAGCCTGAGGTATGGTTCGAGGTCACGCGTGATTACGAGGCACTCCTCTTTTCGGTTCATTTTCGGGCCTTTGTTATGTATCCAAAAGGCTTCTAATGTTTTACGCGCAGATGTTCTTGATTCCTGTGCGAGGATCGTGAATTTGACGTCGAACATTACTCCTGCATGTTTTTGGTCCCTATGCGTGCCTCGTGGAGTTTTTGAATCACAGTTGCGTAACCCAGCTAGGTGCTCTTTTACACGGAGGAATAGTGGTCTACCCGTTTCGCCAATGTACTCATCGCCGCATATCTCGCAAGAGATTAGGTAAATTATACCCGATCTCATACAGTCGCCGTCTCTGCCGTTCGGACAAACTTTGCAATCATTGGTTTCGCAGAGGCGGTCATACAATCGGTTGCGGACTAATTGACGCTTTAGTGTTTTTGGGGGTATTTCAACTATTGCTACCGAATTATCCAAACCTGCTCTTTTTAGGCATCGTTTAATAGCTGTACTTATTTCGTTAGAGATAAAAGGCAGGAGGAAAGGAACCTTATTTTCGCCAGACTTATCGTTTGGGAGCATAGAATTTCCTCTAAATCTAACCTGAGAAGCTCCTACCGTATCGTAGCCATTAGAGATGGCTATTTTTCGCGCCAAGCTTAAGGATTCTACCTTGTGTTCTTTCCCTGTGCACACATTTGACGCTGTTCGGAACATATTCTTAAGTAGTGCGCGTTTTATGTGTGAAGGATGGGCTGATAGGTAGTGAACCAAGATGTTTTTGTTGCTTGGTTTACGGTACCATTTTGTATTGTAGGAGTTTTTGGACAGGTTGACCTGAACGTTCAAAAAAGGGAGCCAATTTGCTTTCGGTTTCTCACGGGTGAACTTTATGTACTCTGACTGACTGTTCAGCAATTCAAAGCATTTGTCCATCTCCTCTTGGGTTGAGCAGACGACAAAGCAGTCATCTATGTATCTACAGTAGAGTACCGGCCGGAGTTCGATTATTGGGCTCTCAACTTTAGACATAAAGGCTATAGCAAGTGTTGGCGCTAAGTCGTTGTCCCATTGCCAGCCCTCTGATTTGACAAATAGTTCCCGGACCATCTAAAGATTGAAGAGTTTAGGCACTCTTTCAAGAGAACCATAACCTGTCTAATGGAGAAGCCATACATGTTTTGTAGACCGCGACTGTATGAGATCGGGTATAATTTACCTATTCTCTTGCGAGGCATGCGGCGATGACCACATTGGCGAAACGGGTAGGCCACTATCCCTCCGTGTAAAAGAGCACCTAGTTGCGGTTACGCAACTGTGATCCAAAAAACTCCACTAGGCACGCATAGGGGACCAAAAACATGCAGGAGTAATGTTCGGCGTCAAATTCACGATTCTCGCCTAGGAATCAAGAACCTCTGCGCTTAAAACAATAGACGCATTTTGGATACATAACAAAGGCACGAAAATGAACCGAAAAGAGGAGTGCTTCGTAATCACGCGTGACCTCGAACCATACCTCAGGCTGATTTTTCCGGCTCGAGTTACTGACGCACTGACCTTAAGCGGCTGGTCTTCAATTAACAATTGATAGACCCGAACATCAAAACGGTGCGTGTTTTCAAAATGAATCTTTTACTATGCGATCCAAAACTTATTTCTAACGTTTTCTGCTAGGGTTATGGAGGTTTTGGCTTAGTGGATTGTGGATCAATGTGATCTTTCCAGACTCTGACGAAGGCGACCTGCCGAAACGTTAGCCACCTCGAGTATTGTGTATTCAAGCTGCATTACTGACTGTATTGTTGTATGCTTCGCTAATATTCAATAAATAACATTAATAACACCTCGGACACTGTTAAACAGAAGAAAACTATTCATAAGCGTGATAATGATAGTAAAGGGGGGGGGGGGGTGGGAACATAATTTTATTGTGAATGGTACAACGCTGGAAGGCCCTTCATTAAACGGGCACGTACGTCAGTCTTCCGAAAATTATCATTTTGAATGATTTACAAACACTCTCATGAGAAATTTTTGTCCACCAAAAGCTTATCATTTTCCATTTCCTCCAGGCTAACAAGAAAGAACCATTCTTCATCATAAACATATATATATATATATATATATATATATATATATATATATCTGATAATGTTGAGCGATGTGCAAAGCGTCTGCGTCGGATAGGACTCGAGCCTGCTTTTTACCCTATCCGGGGAGCGTGCTCTAATCCGTTGCACTACCAAAATCATTAAATCTGCATTTTTCCCTGAACAGGATATTTAGAGGCGAAATATTTTGAGTGTACATTTTCAACATTGCAATATCCTTCCTCATCTCACTCCTCTTTAATAAATCTATTTTTTTACTTTTAGTTTTTTCAATCACGTGGAGAAGATTCCAGAAATGAATTTCTTTGTAAGGACACTTCTTTCGAGTAATGTTCCACTCATAAACTAATTGACTCAAGAATGAGAGATTTGAGTGGTGAGCAAAAATACGGACTCAGCCGGGAATCGAACCCGCCTTTTATGCTATCCAGGGACGCGTGCTCTACCACTACACCACTAATATTCAAGATTTCTAGAATTTTTTGCTGCAATTTTCGCTAGTGTTATGATCATTCATATATCCCTAAAAGAACTGAGTGGTGAGCAAAAGCAAGGCCTCAGCGGAAATCGATCTCGCGTTTCATCTCATGCGGGGACGCGTGCTCTACCACTACACCACCGAGGCACATTTGTGCCACAATTCATTCTTCAACATCTTTATGTTAGCTATCAGCCACCAACCTTCAACAAGTTTAACAGGTTAAACATTTCTATGTTAGCTATCAGCCACCTACCTTTAACAAGTTTGGTCGGGAATGAGATTTCGCCCTATAAACCCAGCTGAGCTGATGGCCATTGTGATAACTAATATTCGAGATTTCTGGTAATTTTACTGCATCTTTTGCAGTGCTATGTCATTCACTTCAATGAAACTTCAATGAGTCTTCATTGACTTTTGACTCATTGAAGTTTCACGAGAGTACAAACAACCACTTTGTCTCATTTTCATCGATCTGAAGAAAGCCTTTAATTCAGTGGAAACAGAAGCGGTTATAAAGGCTCTGGATAACCAGGGCGTCCCTACTCGGTACATAATGATCCTTCGTGAGCTTTATAAAGATTTCACGACCAAAATATCTCCATTCTACAACAATATCACCACTGATCTAAGAAGAGGGGTTCGACAAGACGGTAATACAATTTCGCCAAAACTGTTCATTGCCACCCTACAAAACGTCATGCGAATATTAGAATGGGACGAAATGGGATTGAAAATTGACGGTCGACAATTAAACCATCTTCGCTTTGCTGATGATATCGTTCTCATAACACCAAACATCAGCCAAGCGGAACGAATGTTGACTGATTTCGATAACGCCTGTGGAAAGATTGGTCTTCAACTGAATCTAACGACAACAATGTTCATGAGGAACGGATGGGTTTCGAATGCCCCACTCACGCTCAACGGTACGACAATCTCCGAATGCTCCAGTTACGTCTATATAGGTCGTGAAATCAATATGATGAACGACCTAGCTCCAGAGTTAAGCAGGAGGAAACGAGCGGCTTGGGGAACGTTTAAGAGCATCGAAGATGTAGTGAAGAGGACAAAGAACATCCGACTCCGTGCCCACCTTTTCGACTCGACGATTATTCCTGCCCTGACGTATGCAGCAGAAACCTGGTCGCTACGTAAGCAGGATGAAAGATCACTTGCCGTTATCGAACGCGCAGTCGAAAGGTCAATGCTAGGAGTATCCCGTATCTCGCAAATGAGAGAAAGGATCCGAAGTTCCGACCTACGTCAACGATCGAAAATCAGAGACGCCGTTCTACACGCCAGGATATCGAAAATAAGGTGGGCCGGACACGTGATGCGCTTCAACGACAACCGATGGACGAGAGCCGTTACCGAGTGGATTCCTCGGGAAGTCAAGCGCTGTAAAGGAAGACCACTGACCCGTTGGTTCGATTTCTTCACGAAAGCGATAGAAGAAAGATATGATGCTCAGCGAATCCCTAGAGCGAGGAGGACCCACGGGGCTACTCTTGCACGCGATAGGGAAAAATGGAAGAGTTGCTGCTCGCTCGAGTCACTCGAAGATCAACGGGACGACAGGTGATACAGGTGATATGTCATTCACATACTCCTGAGAGATTTGAGTGGTGAGCAAAAATACGGCTTCAGGTGGGAATCGAACCCGCGTTTCGGCCTCACCAGTCACATTTCTTAAGAATATATGAATGATCATAACATTGCGAAAAATGCTGTAAAAAATACTAGAAATCTCGAACATTAGTTATCACAATGGCTGTCAGCTCAACTGGGTTCGTAAAGCGATCGCATACCCGACCAAGCTAGTTAAAGGTTTGTGGCTGACAGCTAACATAGAGGATGTTGAAGAATGAGTGGTGGCGCAAATGTGCCTCGGGCAAATGTGCCTCGGTGGTGCAGTGGTAGAGCACGCGTCCCCGAATGGGATGCGACGCGGGTCCAATTCCCGCTTAGGTCTTGTTTTTGCTCACCACTCTGTTCTCGTAGGAATATATGAATGGTCGTAACACTGAAAAAATGCAGCAAAAATGCTAGAAATCTCGAAGATTAGTTATCTAGAATGAGACATATGAGAAACGTAGCTGACGACAGCGATTATGTGTGGACCAGCACGATTCCGAAGAAGATGAAAGGTGAAAACGTTACCCCAATAAATCTTTGTGAAAAAACCTTACTAGCTTTCTCACCTAGAATGCAATTAATTATCTTTCGGTTTATAGAAGTCAGAAGGGTGATAATATCGGTGTCAAAGGAAGCTTTTCTTCTGCTGTCTTCTTTTAGAAACTACAATCCTGGTTAGGTGCAATTGCTAGCCCAAATAAATATGTCGGGAAAAAATGAGCACGCTTTTGATCAGTTTTGGCCTAGTTTTGCTGTCAATCATAACTCTGGTTTAACTGAGCTTCCAGAAGGAAACGCTTAACTTGTTGTTGCTAGGAGGCTCTGATAGGATGACGGACTTTTGTTCTATACGGTAGTTTTGATATGTAAGAACACATTTATGTTATACGAAAGCTATTTTAGCTTTAATTTACTACCAGTAAATGAAAGAGAAGGGCGGCGTAATTGTAGTGCTGTGTTTACGTCCAGTTCTTGTAGAGCCATGGTTCACGCTCTTTCGGATGAAGCGCGCCCCATGAAACAACGAGTTCTAGAAATTGGCACCCTGTTTACTTGGGATCGCGTCGCTCCTTCCAAAGCTGATGACTGCATGTGATCAAGATGTGGAAGCGCTCTTGCATAACTGTATTAGTATTCCACAGCGAAATGGACTCTATCAGAGACTAAAAATCCTTTGAAAGCGAACGCATTCACACGAAAATGCGAAAATCGTCGAAGAAGAATTTGTAGGAATATCAGAAGTGCTAGAATATAGCAGTGCATAGTAAAGAGGTGAAATCTGTCCACGCTGGTAGATCCTTGAGGGATGCGTTGCACATTTGATCATATCGAGTGTCGTTATAGGTGATTGGACGCATACCTGACCTTAACAATGATTCGAGAGGACCTACCTATTTATCAAATCAGTGCTGCAATCCTCCACACAAGGGTAGTGCTAAATTCGATAGAGCGTTTGATGGACATGGAACGCAGGGAATTGAAAGAATTCAATTATATTGATTCTTGTTCACATTGTTTTTAAAAATGTCTCTGATATGGTGATAATTTCATATGAATGGAAGTCTGAAATGGTCTCTTGTTGAGGTGAAAATACGCCCAAACATTACCATTGATGGGTGTTCACACGTCACTGGTACGCTACTGTTGCCGCTATTTTAGTTCTTCCGTCTCAAATAAACTAGTGTTTTATCACAAGTAAAGGTTCTGTGCGTCAAAATCGATTATCATAAATAACTCTTAGACAGCCCATTGAGGTCATCAGCAGGCCACTTGTAATTTTATTTGAAACAAGTGGTCGCAAATTTGTTAAACATTCCATAGGCTTTGTACGACCAAATCTGCGTTCTTGCTTTCTAAAGAGAGTGTTTTCAAAGCTATCAAGGCAGCTTGCCATAGTTTCTGCAATAAATATTTTGACCACCATCAAATCGACACTGCTAAGCATTCGCAGAACGCTGTACGACTTCACAAATCATTTATTGTGCTAATTCCTACAAGGTACACAATAGATCGGAAGCCGCGCAATGGGCATGGTTTTTATCATCTAAGGAGTCTACAAACTCGTGATAGTGGGACTTTCTTATATTACCATAACTTTCCAGTTAATGACGATGCTATTATCGAAAATGTATAGATATCCGGCTGAGACTTGTTCTCTCTTCACGTTTTCAGATAGGTCAAAAAGGTTATATCTTAGTGTTTTTCAATTTCTAAGACATGCCCTTTATACTCCATCTCAACAAGCATCGATAGGGAGTCTGAATGCCTATCGTGTTTGGACGGTGACATGCGATGGCTCACCTATCTATCAAGTAAATATTACTATTCTTTCTATTCAGAGAGGACTAGTATCAATTTCCTTACCTCAAGGGAAGCTTGGGATGCGTTATTAAATCAAAGAGCGCTTACTTATTGCAGTGCACATCTAATCACTTCACTGTGCGAGTTGACTTTTCAAAGGGAAACGTAGGAATCCTTCTCAGTTTGAATGATCCTGTAAGGTAATGATCTTTGTACACCCTAGTATGGCAGATGGATGCTCACAATCGTCACGTGTTGGGATAGAATATTCGTCCAAATTGCTCCACACTGTTCACATCCACGTAAATATTATGCGAAGACTGCTTCTTATTCTCCGAGGGAAGGAATGAAAACTTTCTTTGCGCTTCACTTTTTACTCTTCCTTTTCTTTACCTGACGGGGAATTGTAAACAAGAATTTATCGCTGAACAAAGGCTTTCCATAAAAGTTTTATAATCACTCGAAGGCAAAAATTTGGAACCGCTGCCCCTGCTTCTTTTTTGGAAAGACTTTCGTCAGCGGATGTAGCACTATAAACAAAATCGTGCTTGGCACGTGTTGTAGGTTTTTCGCGTATTCGCGCGCTTATCACTCGTTTTGTCCCAAAAAAAAAACCTTTTTCCTGCACTGTTAGTGATTGTTTTATAGCAGTTTTGAGATTCTTGATTTTCTTCTTTGAGCAGAACACGAGGTGTTACATTAAACTTTATTCGATAGCTGACGTTTCGGCAGTTCGCCTTCTTCAGAGCCTGGAAAGGTCAAAATGTTTGCAATACAATCAGTCAAACACCTCCATTACTTCTTTAGAGAAAATCACCAGACCTAGATTTCAATGGCATCAAGCAAAAATCAACACTCAACATACTCACCGCTTTTTATATGTGTTCCACTGGATGATCCAAGTGGAGATCACCGGAAAGAGAGGCACATAGGCTCGTAATGCACCCTACCCATCAAAACAACAGTCTTATATACTGGCTCATATCACGAGTGTTTACAAGGCATTCCTCCCTGCGGTTTATGGTTGGATTGGTCGTATTAATCCAAAATGCTTCCAAGATCTTTCGCGCTGATGTTTTTTGCTCCTGCGCAAGGATGGTGACTTCGATTTCAAAATCAACTCCGTCGTGTTTCTGTGCTCTATGCGTCCCTAGCGGGGTGTTTCGTCTATTAAGACGCTTGTCAGCTAGGTGTTCTTCTATGCGTGCATAGAGCGGCCTACCCGTTTCGCCTATATATTTATCACTACACGCTTTGCAAGAGATTAGGTAGACTGTACCTACGCTCATGCAATCACCGCCTCTGCCGTTAGGACATATTTTACAATCTTTCGTTATGCAGAGACGGTCATATAAGCGGTTTCGAACTAATTGGCGTTTTAGAGTATTCGGTGGTATTTCTATAATGGCCACCGATTGCTCTAAACCCGCTCTTTTCAAACATCGTTTAATAGCTGTACTAATCTCATTTGAATAGAACGGGATGATAAACGGGACTTTCCTTTCATTCAAGTTTTCGTTCGGAGGCGCATTATTTCCTCTAAACCTAAGCCGAGGGGTTACAAATTCGTATCCAGTATTAATGGCTATTTCCCGAGCCAGTTTCACGGATTCTACTCTCTGCTCCTCCCCGGTACATACATTGGCTGCTGTTCGAAACATGTTTTTTACTAGCGCCTTTTTCGTATGTGAGGGATGAGATGAGAGATAGTGAACCAGGATATTCTTATTACTTGGCTTTCGGTACCACTTTGTTATGTAGCCGCTCTCAGTTAAGTTTATTTGCACGTTCAAAAATGGGAGCCAATCGTCTTTTGGTAACTCACGGGTGAATTTTATATACTCTGACTGTTCATTCAACAATCTAAAACAATTATCTAGCTCCTTTTGAGTGGAACAGATAACCAAACAATCATCTGTATACCTACAGTAGAGTAATGGCCGGAGATCCATTACTGGTGCTTCCACTTTAGACATAAAGGCAATGGCCAGGCTAGGTGCCAGTCGCTGTCCCATTGCCAGCCCTCTGGTTTGAGCAAAATAATAGCATTATAGAAATACCACCGAATACTCTAAAACGCCAATTAGTTCGAAACCGCTTATATGACCGTCTCTGCATAACGAAAGATTGTAAAATATGTCCTAACGGCAGAGACGGTGATTGCATGAGCGTAGGTACAGTCTACCTAATCTCTTGCAAAGCGTGTAGTGATAAATATATGGCGAAACGGGTATGCCGCTCTATGCACGCATAGAAGAACACCTAGCTGACAAGCGTCTTAATAGACGAAACACCGCGCTAGGGACGCATAGAGCACAGAAGCACGACGGAGTTGATTTTGAAATCGAAGTCACCATCCTTGCGCAGGAGCAAAAAACATCAGCGCGAAAGATCTTGGAAGCATTTTGGATTAATACGACCAATCCAACCATAAACCGCAGGTAGGAATGCCTTGTAAACACTCGTGATATGAGCCAGTATATAAGACTGTTGTTTTGATGGGTATGGTGCATTACGAGCCTATGTGTCTCTCTTTCCGGTGATCTCCACTTGGATCATCCAGTGGAACACATATAAAAAGCGGTGAGTATGTTGAGTGTTGATTTTTGCTTGATGCCATTGAGATCTAGGTCTGGTGATTTTCTCTAAAGAAGTAATGGAGGTGTTTGACTGATTGTATTGCAAACATTTTGACCTTTCCAGGCTCTGAAGAAGGCGAACTGCCGAAACGTCAGCTATCGAATAAAGTTTAATGTAACACCTCGTGTTCTGCTCAAAGAAGAAAATCAAGAATCATACTGAAGCATGCCGAGGTTAATAGACAGTTTGGTCTTGTTAATTGCAGTTTTGAGAAACAGAAAAATATATCCGATTCTTAGAAATGTTTTTTTACAGCGCTGTTGTAGAAAGGGGCGCTTTGTGTTCTATACACTCGTATTTCTCGCAGGATAGCTCTTCCCATCAAATTCTAAGTAGCCGTCCGATAGCGTAAGTTTTAACGATTCCAAAACCATACTTTTTTTCTAAAGAGAGCTT